GATATTTACAACTGTATTAGTATGAATACATCAAGTAAATGTGTACATAGGAATATTATCACATGAAACACACTTGTTGAGAAACTACCCATTGGTAGCACTCTAATGCTTTGTCTACATGAGGGGATCACGAGGCCATCTTCTTTTCAGACTCCTCGGAGGGTTATCAGGAATCGAAGAGGAAGCAAGGTTAGAAACAAGAGGATTCGGATGGTTATGAAGTTTATTATGGAAAGATAGGTATCTAGATTTGGCCAAATCGGAAACATATGGAACATTGAGGTTTGATAAACATAAAAACTTTTCTGAAATAGGTAGGAAAATAGTGTGAGTAGGAAAATTTTATTACTCCTTCTCACCTGAATCTTCGGTTAAATAAATGTTTTCATATTAATTACTTACACATCTCAGTCTTATGCGTTTATTGATTGAAATAGAGTGTTCAATAAAGTGGTTGTAATAGCAGAATTTATGGTTGCTAAATATTCTGGGAGTAGCAGGGTTCGAGAAAAAATAAACTGTTAGTTTCAATATATGGCCAACTAATAGCGGCTGAACTAGAAATAACATCCTTTTGGTTTATTATATGCTACACATGATATTAATAAATATTAATAGGATGTTTTGAACAGTGCAGTTAAACTCAACGAAGTTTAAGTATATCTTTCTGAGAGATATGTAATTTTACATATTATATTATTTAATTTACTTAATACAAACTCCATTCCAATGTTTTCATAGCATTTTTATAACATTTTTAACAAAAAAATGTAAAGTTAAAATCAAAATCTGCAGATGACAATTAATTAATAATTCTAAACAGAAATAAATAAATATATATATTAGGTTATAATTGGATAAATTCCAAGCACATATCTTTTTATTTCCAAAATACAGGTTTAGAATAGAAACCCTGTCAACGTTTTGTCAATTCAGGCATCATCAGGAAAGAAAATCTCGGAGTATACTCTTTAAAGCATGCGATTGGATATCATGAAGTGATGTGATCTTCGATTTATTCTTATTTTCTGTCTTCATGATGCCTGAATTGGCGAAACGTTAACGGCTGTTACGTGCACTTCGGAGACATAATGCTGTGTGGTTGGAATTTTTCCAATTATAAGCTAAGATTGAACCTCTTTCTCTTGGTGAGTTTTTTACTGATTTATATAAATATATATATATATATATATATATATATATATATATATATATATTTGTTATAAATAATGTTTACTTGACTCCAAACATATAGTAGAAAAAAAAATACCATCCATGTATGAAAAATCACTTTTGAAATAATATGGTACTCATTCCACCTTGTATGATAATGGCGCAGAGAAGAATTGTACTTCGCTTCTTACTATTGTTATTACAGAAACATGAGCCATATGAAGAAAAGCTATAATAAAAGTTATAAATAACTTTGAAGAGAGTATATGAAGACTTGCTTAAATGAAGAAGCATACCTTGTATCGCATGTGATTTCCCTTACTTCCTTAAGACGATTTTTATGGCAGTTATATTTTTCTTATTGACAATTTGCTAATCCACTCTCTCAGTGATCTGAAATTCTCGATATATCCAGTTGTTAGTTTTCTAAAAATAAATTCTTTTTGGATAGTATTACTGAGTATAGTTTCAATTTTCATACTGCATTTATTTTTGACATGGACGAGGTTCTTTCTTTGATTCCTTCATTTCCATTAAAGCTTTTCAATAATGAACCATTGTAATCGAACAAAAAATTCAAAAACTTTTTTATTTCTTATACATTTATTTTTAACTCAAAATAAATGCTACGGAATCGGGCAAGCTACGGAATTCATTTATGCCAAATGAAAGATTAATGTTGATAATCTTAAATGATTTATTGAATTGAGAAGTGACCATTTTCTTTTTACACCAACTTTTCTCAATTTATAAAAAAATCAATATTTTATATATATATATTTTCAGCATTTATAAAAATACTCATGAATAATAAAGATTGGTCAGTTCTTTTGAAATAAAGTTTGTATGTTTATTTGTTTCAGATTAACAATCACGGCCTCTTGTCCAATGAACTTGCAGTATTTTCCTATGGATAGGCAACTCTGTCATATAGAGATTGAGAGCTGTGAGTATTCTGAGATAGCTGAAATGTCACGCTTAAGCACTAGTTATTTGTGAAATAGTAAAAAAAAAAAAATGGATATCACATTATAAAATTTGCCACAGAGAAAAAAAAAGTTCATGTTTTTTATAATTAAATCAAGTAATCATGTAAATTTCAAGTTATTGAGTAAAATAATTTCATTTTTCAAATTATTGATCTATATTATTATCATATACATTTAAAAAAAAAAATAAAAGTATTATAAAACTGTCTCCCTTCTTCTAAGTGCACAGCTTGTAAAAAAAAAAGAAGAAAAAAAATTCATTTGAAATAATGTTCAGAAGAAAAGCTGCACGCTTTCACAGCTTTTGCTAAATTTTTTGTGACATAAATAACTGCCTCAAGGCGATTTCTCTGAGGAAGAAGGAAGAGAGTCTTGCGTGCGTGTGCGTGTGTGCGTTTTCTGTCTCTCTCTTTCCTCTATCTTTCTTTATCTCTCTATCTATCTCTCTTTCTCTTCCTGGTAACAGCACCAAGTGTCGTGCCCGAGGAAGTAAATGTCCAAGCAAGACGAAACTCCAGAGCAAGAGAGCTTGGACTCTTGTATCTTATGACTTATTCTTATCTGTCACCGCCAAGAGAACGAGCATCACGGAGACAGTTGTTTTGTGTTTTTATTTATTTATTGTTTACTTTAATATGTATCATTGTTTACCTTATTTAGTTGTTTATTTTATTTTGTTTTTGTTTGGTTTCACGCCAGCTTCAAATTGATTTATGCACGAAAACACGTCGATGTACAGGTTAGATGTGCCAATATGCTAACATTTCTTTAAATATTTGTTTGAATAAAAATAACTAACTACTTACTAATCCAATTAAAACTGAAATACGTAATGTATATATAGCCTTGAACCACTGGCTTCCACGCATGTTTATTTTATTTTTTTTATTTTTGTTCAATTATGTTTTATTTAATTTAATAGTGTTACGTCCCACGCAGACCGTTTTACTTGTTGACACAAGTTTCATTCAATTGCATGGTTTTAAAGCATTAAATATATTTGCTACAGTATTATAATAAATACCAATAATATTATTGAGAAAATATTTTTCCCATTAGTATTTTTATTTTTATTTTTTGAAGTTGGAGAAGATAGCACCTTTCTCAATCAAAAATAGAAATATTTGCCTGAAACTCTCAGAAAAACTAAAGGAATGAACTGTTACCTGTTTGTGTTTGATGCTAAAATCCTTATATATCCATAGAGAATTCAAAATATGACGGGATATATATCAAAAGATTTCCTGAATAGGTTAGTTTGAAAGCAATTCGTTCTTACCTCTACATTTGTAGAAAGTAATTAACCCATTCATGCGAAGACTAGTGGAGCTTTTCTTACTAAGAAAGTAGAGGAAACAGATTTGGAAATAATAAAACATAGGCTGGCACTAGGATTTTCTCTTTAAAGTAATGTCATTATTAGCAATCATTGTTAACAAATTTTTAAAATAATTGTTTTATCATGTAACTAGATATATCTAAATAGATTTAACTACAGTTACTGTTGAAATCGCGAGTATGAAAAATAGTTAATAATGGTGTTTGTTAAGTTTGCCTACGTTTCGATTCAACCATGTGGTTCATCATTAGGGCAGATTTAAATATTGAGATATCCACAGCAGAAATACTGCACAGATAATGTCCCATGCTTGGATCGAAATATCGAAATATATTAATAAAAAATATATTAATAAAATATAAATAAAAATATAATATAAAAATATATTAATAATTAATTAATTAATAAATATAATACAAAAATTATATTAATAATAAATATATTAATAAAAACTGGAGTGGGGTAGCTCAGTGGTAGGGTCCTATGCTAACTGAGCTTCCAATGCTTAAAGGTCTCAGGTTCGAACCCAGGCTCGTGGCAGAAAATTTATTTATCTGTTTCATTGGCCGTGGGGCGGAAGACCCTCCTGAGGCACACCCAGCCTCTATAAAGTGGGTACCCTTAATTAAATAATTCACTAAGGGGGGAAACCTGGCGATTGAGAACGATCTTGGTCAAATTACCTCCTTGCACAACTGTTGACCTAGAAACAGTGTTTTCCATAAATAGTACCGACCCCAAGACCCTTGTATAGGGGTTTTAGTGGTACAGTTTTTTTTTGTGTGTTTTTTTTTAATAAACACTATTATTGACTTGATATCCTGACTGTTTTTCATTCTTACTTTTTTATCACTCTAATTATGCTAATTTAATATAATATTATGGACATTTTTTATTTTCAAAAGTGACATTTCATTTTGGGAGTGGGGTAGCTCAGTAGTAGGCACTGAATTATTTATTCTGTTCCATCAGCTTTACATCGACCCTGGGGTCGAGGAAACCCCGCCGGGGCACACCCAGTCTCAATACAGTGGGTACTCTTAATTAATTAAGACGTAAAACATTACGTTTGAGCGTGATCTTGGTCAAACTACTTCCTAAGAGCAACCGTAGACCAAGAAATAATACTTCTCTTCTGGAACCCAAGATCTTTCATTGGTTGTCCTGGTACAGTTTTTTTTTTTTTTTTTTTTTTAATATTGCTTTATAATTTTAGTTAATTTTTTCAGAATGATAGTATAAAAAAAATAAAAATATTAGCTTCATTTCCAATTTATATCAGAGCAGTTCATTTCTTCGTATTTCATTTCATACAAGCGAAACTTGAAGGCCAATAAATTACTATTGCAAAAAAGGTGCTCCTTCTTCAATACCCTGTTGTTCCCTTTCTTTCAACAGAGAGGAGCAAATTAAACCAATTGAGTAGCCTACAGAACGGACTCAAAATGTCTACTATTTTATTTTTGTTCTATTGTCTGTCAAGCGCAGTTGGCTACACAATGCGAGATATTCGGTACAAATGGAACGCGGGCCACAAATCGGTTGGCATTGCCAATGAAGTGCAGTTGCCACAATTCAGAGTCCTCGGGCACAGACAGAGGGCACGAGAAATAAACCTGTCCACAGGTACTATCTCATCTCAAACCGAGTCACGGGATGAGGTAAGTGTCGCTCACCCCGTGACCGCACGAGAGCGCGCATGCCAACCCTACCTGTCACCTCCTTTCCTGTGTGAGTGAGTGTGTGTGAGGGCACGCATTGGGGCATTCACATTCTAAATACTATCTTTCTGTTTTTTTGTTCTTTTTTTTCCTTCCTATTAAACCCCGACACACAGTCGGGTACACAATGAGGGACATTCGCTATAAGTGGAACGAGGGCCCCAACTCAGTCGGTGTCTCCAATGAGGTCTCACTGCCCCAGTTTAAGGTCCTCGGCCACCGGCAGAGGGCGATGGAGATTAGCCTGACCACAGGTACTGCATCACCCTTACACCTTCCCCTAGGATACGACATCATGAAACAAGGCTATTTCACATCTCCTCCCACCTAATGTAAATAAGCTTTATCCTTGCTAAAACGCAGGATCCAGTAACATTCCTACTTTGAAGACATATCATCATTCAGTCACTCTCACTGCATGTTTTCTTCCTATGTATTTAATGAAAAAAAAAAAGGTAATAGTAATAAATAAATAAATTAGAAACTATAAATAACAAGACAAATTATGATCACAACATTATTTTAGAAACACGCAAATGTAAGTTAACATAAAATTTCAATGAAATATTGTTAGCTAAGATAGATTAGGATTCTATTTATCTGTCCTACAAATAAATAATAAATAATTCCTTAAAAAGAAATATTACTATTCATTTGGCCAATATAAAAATATATGTTTCAAGTCTTTGAAAAAGTTAACTTATACACATAGAGTTGAAAATAAATATTATAACGAAAAACGGGAGAACATTTATTCAAACTTATTAAAATAATACACTAGCCATACTATTAATATAAAATATATACTTTCTTATTTATGATTTTTAAACATTTTTCAGCTTATAAAAAAATATCTTTATACCCTAACATTTGTTTTTCAAAGCACACCATATTATTCTGATTTCATGTTCTCTCATAGGTTACCTTTTAAAACAATTCTTAAATCTATCCCTCTAGATTAAATGCAAAAATTACGAGACAACGTTATATACATATATGTAGTAACCATATTTGTGCAAATATGTATATGTCCACAAATATATCCACACATGTGGACAAGTTTGTGTATATTTACACAAACATATATATATATATATATATATATATATATATATTATATATATATATATATATATATATATATATATATATATATATATATATATATATATATTATTTATACTTTTATTTTCATTTTATATTTTATAGGTAATGACGCATGTTTTTTTGAAAACTAAAGGTATTAGTGTAATATATCAGTAGTTATTCTTGTACAATTACTATTGAGTACATTAATCATTTGAAACACATGGAGATTCGATTGATTCTTTAGGGAATTTAAGAAATAAATAAATTCATAATTTGGTAATGATATAATTTACAGAGGTTTATTGTAACATTTATAGAAATAATATAATTACTACTAAGAATTCTATTGGATTATTATGACATTTATTTTTATATAAAACAAATTTCTATTTTTATTTACATAAAAAATTCGTTATTTTTAGAAATTTTGATTTTGTCAGAAATGTTCTACTTTCGAGAAATATATATAAGGATTTTTTAATTAAATCAATGCAATATTTTTACAGGAACTTTTTACCACGAATTTTATGGGAATATTAATAGGATTAACAGAAATATTTCATTGTTCTAGCCATTTTTTTTTAAATTAATCATTTATGGCATAAGAGTATGATCTATAAAAATGAATTAACACTTCTAAACCTTATTTTAATTTACTGATGAAATAGTTAATTACTCATGAACTTTGTTTTCATCATTCGTTGTTGTCCTTCATTCTCAAAGTTATTTTAACATTTTTATGCGTTTATTATCTACATTCATGATGCTTGAATTTCTTTTACAGTTTAGAATCAGAAATTATTTTAATCAGGAAAGAAATAGCCTTGTTTCCGTAAAAAGCACTACACTTACTCAAATTTATTAAACATTTATTAAATTTCACACAATATCCTCTAATTTTAATATGTATGTTTTACATTTTTATAATTTGTATTAAACATTTTTTGTTTTTAATTTTTTTAATAAATTTCAATAGATTCAGATGATCAATGGTAAATCTAGACTAATGTTGCCCCAAAGTGCCCAAAGGTAAATCACAAATTCACAGCTTTATTCCATGGTATAATTTGTGTTCACTGCTATTTACATACATAAATATTTGTTTTTGTGTTCAGCTTTTAACTTTTGGTGTTTTTATTTTCTATGGATAAAGTAAATAACTAATCTTGTTGCTAACCAATAATTGAAGAGCACTGTGTGTTAGTTTTACAATTTGATGTATTTATTTTTTTCTTTGATAAATGTCAGATACCTAACCGGACTAATAAAATATGCTTAAAAATGTATTGTCCGTTGTGCATGGAATATTGATGTATTTACAACGCACTTGTATTGCCACAGTGTTGCTTCATGTGAGGTGAGGTGAAAGCATTTCATTGCATAAACATCTGAGGTATAATTTAATAAATATAAAATAATTATTCCAATACTCTAATAAAATTGCATAATGTTGATGTTATGTTTTAAAACCAAGCAATCGATCTACATTAGTTTCCTATAACTGTAAATCAGTTTTGAAAACTTGATCAATTTTAAATAAAAAGTTAATTTAAAATAAATAACGAAAATTTATAAATAAATACAAAAATGAAAAAAAATTAAATTCCAGTATATATTGTAATCGCTCAAGCTATAATAAAAAATTGAATTTATTTATAAATAATCGTTAAGTAGGTACTGAATTTTTAAATCATTTTATTTTCAATAATAGGCAAATAATTTTTCTAACTGTTCCTGTGAAGCCCATGTATACATAAATAAATACATCTTCAAAGTATCAGATTTGATATTCTCAATATAACCACTAAATTCTGATATTTTAAACTATCAAATGCTGAGGTAAGTGGGTTATAAACATGTATTATCTTTTAAAATCATAAATCATAGAATCGCCTATTATTCTAATTCTTCCTCTAGGTTTCCACCAGAACCAGTCCTATCGATTTTGTTCCATCTTCAGTTTTCCGATAGTAAAAACTATCCAACTTTTAAAAAAACGTTAACGTTGCTTAACGGCCAGTCTAGTGATATATTCGTTGTATGATATCTTGGGTTTGTCTTCGATTCATTCACCAATCGTTCGACCTTCCATTTTTTTTCTTGGATTTAGGTTCTTGTCATCGTGCATAGATGTCTCAACCACTTTAGTAGTCTTATATAAAAGATGGTTTTAAATGAGTGTATGACCAATTCCTTCCATATCGTCTCTTTTCGCTTTGTGCCTTGCCAGCCAACTGCTCGGTGGAGACATTTCATTTAGACAGCAAACAGACGGTTTAAAAGCCGGTCTAACATTAACAAGTTCTTAGGGTCATATAGCAGAACTCCAAGAGTGCCCATCCTCTCATGGTCGATGACGCAGGAACCTTCCCAACCACTCCCAAGATGGTTATGGTATTACTGTCCTGTTCTTAAAAATAATGAAAACGAAACTATTATTTAAAAAATGTATAATATACAATACATATATACATGGTATGCAGTCTGTTCCATGCTGCTCCTTGTCTTCTGGTTTGAAACTTTTCATTTCAAAAATTTGCTACCTCTTGACTTTCGAGCCTAAATAAATAAATTCTACTACTCTCCCAAATAAATACGCTCCAATAAGAACGTATGATTCTCCTCCTCTACAGAGGACTGAATTCATGTATTTTGTTTTTTCTTCATTAGTCCCATTCTTCCAGCTGTCCTTTGGACCTCCAACAATACATATTTAATAGCTTTAAAAATTCTTCCCATTATGTAAATGACATCAGCAAACCCAAGGATTACTGCATTACTATTGAAAATTGGAACCAAAACTTGGATTTTAGATCTCCTCACTCAATATTCCAGGACTAATTTAAAAAGTAGGAATGCTAGACAATCTCCTTCTCTAAGCCCTATATGGGTGAGGAAGGACTCTGAGTTCATAACCTATGAACGTTAAAATGGGCTTTCTTAAAAATTATAAACCACGTAAAAATGTGCCTCATCAAAATGTTTGATTCTAACTTGTTGACTTGTTCTTTGAAACTGAAGTCTATTGTGACAGTGCTGTAAACGACTGTAGGTAATTCTAGGTATTTACATATTTAGGTAAATATGAAAATTCATCCACAATCTTTTTGCATATTGCATATTTTGCATACAAAATAAATGTATTTCCTTTCTATTTCCTAGTGATTAGTATGACTTTTAATTTGGATGGAGTTTATGGTGATCCATTTTCTGAGAACCTAGTCTTGCCATTCGATTAGTGCGCACTTCAATTATCCTTTAACCTTATATCTCTGATACTTTCTATTTTTTAACAGAAATGATGGAATTTAGGTATTTATTATTCTCCAACAGATATACCATAGATATGGCATATATAAGAATACAGTGCATCTCAATTTTTAATATCGTTTTCGTTATTTTTATCCACAAAATGAATTTATCATAAATGGCCCGAAGGATTTTCATAAAATTTATTTCAGTGATATTATTTAAACCTATTTCAATTGATTTCGAAACATAATTTTAAAAAAAAATAGGAAGACATAAATGGTATCTAGATTTTTCCATATTTAATATTAATTAAAAGGTCTAATGTCTTCCATTGAGAAGTGGCTTTGGTCGAAACTTGGGGGAAAAAATTTCTGACAAGATCCAAAAAACGTGTGTCAAGTAAGGTCAGTGTCGCTTCCTTACCATATCCATCGACGTTTTCCATCAGCTAGAACAAAAGTAATTCAACAAGAAACGTAAGCATATCAATGAAGTTAACAATATACAGGTGATGAAGGCCTATAATAATTAAACTCGATGCTTACATCTTACCCTTCAACCATAAATAGATCAAAAAGATTTGGAATAAAGCCGTTTACGGCTTTGATGTTTAAGAGGGGAATTGAGTTGGTTGAACCGGAAGAGAACAAACAAACTCGCAAATATGACGTAATTTTTTACAGTCTGTGTAAATTTTAATTTACAAAGAAACAAAGCATATAGTAAAGGAAAATCTCATGCCTAAGCAAAACCTGTGAATGGGATTCGACAAGTTTATACTGGGCCATCTAAGTTTCAACCTTCACAATCAAGGAATATTACATGAAATCTGAATAACAGTAATATAATAACATAACAGTAATATGAAAATAATATCATAACAGTAATATGATATCATAACGTAACAATAATTATTATTAATTATCACAACATAATAATATCATAACAGTAATATGAAAACAACCATAAATACACATTAAATGAGCATTT